ACATCGATGCATACTCCACGTACACCGTGGAAACCACCAACACATCCACCAACCCGTCACACATTTCCCACGGAAACTCCAGAAACGCCATGCACTAGTGAGTCAGCTGTCTCATCTCCAACGTCCACATCCAGTAAGGAGTGATCATCTCTGACTCACAGTAATCCAGCTGTCACTCCGGATAATTCTTACTCCCCTAGCTCTCGTAGTTCATCTGGCACCTCCGTTATTCCTGTTACATCTTCGTGTGTTCCTTGCGATCTTAATGTTCAGCTGTGTCTACTTTGGTCGTGAAAATAATTTCGTTTTGTTCTATCTTCGTAGGTTCCCCTGGACCTACAGGTGCGTCTGTGTCTTGCACCGAAGAGGGATTCTTCCCTGACAAGCGAGATTGTCGGAAGTTTTATCGTTGCGTTAGCAGTGGCTCATCTTTTACTAAATATGAGTTAGAATGTGGTCCTGGATCTGGTTGGGATTCTGTCCTTCAGAGTTGTAATCACGAATATCTCGTTCCGCGTTGTAATAAGGATTCCAGTCAACCTGATTCGGCAGGCACTACCGTATCTGATTCATCTGGTAATGGAGTTGGCGGTTCTACTGTCCTACCAGGTACAGCACCAAGTGAAGCGTCCATTTCATCAACTCTCTCAGCGTCAGGCACTGTCTCAGCTGCGTTATCCACCACTCCATCATCTGTTATTTCCACCGTCGGTGTAGCAACTTCATTAACAAGTACTTCAACGTTGTCCACATCATCGGATAATGGTGTTGGTACTGTATCGACTTCTGAAACAGCGTCATCATCTTCTGCAGTACTAACTAGTACAGTGGCTTCCCAGTCAACATCTTCTAGTGTTACAGAATCTGTTCTTTATTTACCTCATGATAGCAGTGCCGCATCTAGCGTTTCAACCAACACGGTAATCAGCTCATCACCTGGAATATCCCAATGTACAGAAGAAGGATTCTTTCCAGACCCTGAAGATTGTCGTAAATTTTATCGATGCGTCGGTAGTGATTCTAGTTTTACCAAATACGAGTTTCAGTGCGGTACTGGAACTGCTTGGGACTCAGGTCTTCAGAGCTGCAATCATGAGTATCTTGTTCCTAATTGCAAGGGTGGAACTACTTCTTCAGATTCTTTTAGCACTATTGAAGCAGACTCGTCTCAAAATGAAATCACTAGTACTATCAGTCAGCAGACCATAACTCAAGCACAAACTAGCGTTCCACCAAGTAGTACAGCAGCTTCTACATCAACTGTTCGTCCATCAACCATCACATCATCAAGTGGTCCAGCAACATCGACATCAACTGTCACATCTCCAAGCAATTCAACAACAGTGCCATCTTCTACTACATCCATAGTTGAAACAAGCACAGTCAGTTCCCAAACCACACCTTCAGGTGTCACAGAATCTGTCTCATATTTGCCTCCTGAAAGCAGTACTGGGTCTAGCGTTTCCACTACCACCATAGTTAGTACATCACCTGGGTCGTCGCAATGTACAGAAGAAGGCTTTTTCCCGGATCCCCAAAATTGTCATAAATTTTATCGATGCGTCGGTAGTGATTCTAGCTTTACCAAGTACGAATTTCAGTGTGGTACTGGAACTGCTTGGGACTCAAGTCTTCAGAGTTGCAATCATGAGTATCTTGTTCCTAATTGCAAGGGCGGAACTACTTCTTCAGATTCTTCTAGCACTATTGAAGCAGACTCGTCTCAAAATGAAATCACTAGTACTATCAGTCAGCAGACCATAACTCAAGCACAAACTAGCGTTCCACCAAGTAGTACAGCAGCTTCTACATCAACTGTTCGTCCATCAACCATCACATCATCAAGTGGTCCAGCAACATCGACATCAACTGTCACATCTCCAAGCAATTCAACAACAGTGCCATCTTCTACTACATCCATAGTTGAAACAAGCACAGTCAGTTCCCAAACCACACCTTCAGGTGTCACAGAATCTGTCTCATATTTGCCTCCTGAAAGCAGTACTGGGTCTAGCGTTTCCACTACCACCATAGTTAGTACATCACCTGGGTCGTCGCAATGTACAGAAGAAGGCTTTTTCCCGGATCCCCAAAATTGTCATAAATTTTATCGATGCGTCGGTAGTGATTCTAGCTTTACCAAGTACGAATTTCAGTGTGGTACTGGAACTGCTTGGGACTCAAGTCTTCAGAGTTGCAATCATGAGTATCTTGTTCCTAATTGCAAGGGCGGAACTACTTCTTCAGATTCTTCTAGCACTATTGAAGCAGACTCGTCTCAAAATGAAATCACTAGTACTATCAGTCAGCAGACCATAACTCAAGCACAAACTAGCGTTCCACCAAGTAGTACAGCAGCTTCTACATCAACTGTTCGTCCATCAACCATCACATCATCAAGTGGTCCAGCAACATCGACATCAACTGTCACATCTCCAAGCAATTCAACAACAGTGCCATCTTCTACTACATCCATAGTTGAAACAAGCACAGTCAGTTCCCAAACCACACCTTCAGGTGTCACAGAATCTGTCTCATATTTGCCTCCTGAAAGCAGTACTGGGTCTAGCGTTTCCACTACCACCATAGTTAGTACATCACCTGGGTCGTCGCAATGTACAGAAGAAGGCTTTTTCCCGGATCCCCAAAATTGTCATAAATTTTATCGATGCGTCGGTAGTGATTCTAGCTTTACCAAGTACGAATTTCAGTGTGGTACTGGAACTGCTTGGGACTCAAGTCTTCAGAGTTGCAATCATGAGTATCTTGTTCCTAATTGCAAGGGCGGAACTACTGCTTCAGATTCTTCTAGCACTACTGAAACAGACTCGTCTCAAAATGAAATCACTAGTACTATCAGTCAGCAGACCATAACTCAAGCACAAACTAGCGTTCCACCAAGTAGTACAGCAGCTTCTACATCAACTGTTCGTCCATCAACCATCACATCATCAAGTGGTCCAGCAACATCGACATCAACTGTCACATCTCCAAGCAATTCAACAACAGTGCCATCTTCTACTACATCCATAGTTGAAACAAGCACAGTCAGTTCCCAAACCACACCTTCAGGTGTCACAGAATCTGTCTCATATTTGCCTCCTGAAAGCAGTACTGGGTCTAGCGTTTCCACTACCACCATAGTTAGTACATCACCTGGGTCGTCGCAATGTACAGAAGAAGGCTTTTTCCCGGATCCCCAAAATTGTCATAAATTTTATCGATGCGTCGGTAGTGATTCTAGCTTTACCAAGTACGAATTTCAGTGTGGTACTGGAACTGCTTGGGACTCAAGTCTTCAGAGTTGCAATCATGAGTATCTTGTTCCTAATTGCAAGGGCGGAACTACTTCTTCAGATTCTTCTAGCACTACTGAAACAGACTCGTCTCAAAATGAAATCACTAGTACTATCAGTCAGCAGACCACAACTCAAGCTCAAACTAGCGTTCCACCAAGTAGTACAGCAGCTTATACATCAACTGTTCGTCCATCAACCATCACATCATCAAGTGGTCCAGCAACATCGACATCAACTGTCACATCTCCAAGCAATTCAACAACAGTGCCATCTTCTACTACATCCATAGTTGAAACAAGCACAGTCAGTTCCCAAACCACACCTTCAGGTGTCACAGAATCTGTCTCATATTTGCCTCCTGAAAGCAGTACTGGGTCTAGCGTTTCCACTACCACCATAGTTAGTACATCACCTGGGTCGTCGCAATGTACAGAAGAAGGCTTTTTCCCGGATCCCCAAAATTGTCATAAATTTTATCGATGCGTCGGTAGTGATTCTAGCTTTACCAAGTACGAATTTCAGTGTGGTACTGGAACTGCTTGGGACTCAAGTCTTCAGAGTTGCAATCATGAGTATCTTGTTCCTAATTGCAAGGGTGGAACTACTTCTTCAGATTCTTCTAGCACTACTGAAGCAGACTCGTCTCAAAATGAAATCACTAGTACTATCAGTCAGCAGACCACAACTCAAGCACAAACTAGCGTTCCACCAAGTAGTACAGCAGCTTCTACATCAACTGTTCGTCCATCAACCGTCACTTCATCAAGCAGTACAACGACACCCACATCAACTGTTCGTCCATCAACCGTCACGTCATCAAGTAGTTCAACAACATCCACATCAACTGTTCGTCCATCAACCGTCACGTCATCAAGTAGTTCAACAACATCTACATCAACTATCACATCAAGTAGTTCAACAGCGTTCACATCAACTGATCCTTCATCAACAGTTACACCATCTGTTACACCAAGTAGTCTAACTACAGTCTCATCTTCGTCTGCACCCATTGTTGAAACCAGTACAACCACTTCTCAATCCACATCTTCAAGTGTTATTGAATCTGTTTCCTACTTACCTCCAGCCAGCAGCACGACCCCCGGAACTAGCACGTCTTCTGGATCATCCCAGTGCCCAGGAGAAGGTTTCTTCCCGAATCCAACCGACTGCACGAAATTCTTCCGCTGCGTGCGTACCTATAGCGGGTTCATCAGATACGACTTTGCATGTGGTCCTGGTACAGCTTGGGATTCGTCCATTCAATCCTGCAACCATAAGAGTCATGTAGCTTCCTGTTCCTCGACCAATGGGGCTACAGTTAGTCAAGGATCTACGGGTACACCATCGTCCCACTCAACGCGACCTTCTAGTAACACCACAGCTACACCAACAACTGGAACAAGTATAACGCCCAGTTCAACAGGTACAACTCCAAGCTCTTCAGAGAAGCCGACAGCAACGCAGCAACCTTCGACTACCGAAGGTTCATCTTCAACATCTTCAAACTCTACGTCCTCTACAGAGCCAAATGTTTCAGATTGCGCCACGAAGAAGCCGAACAATACCATAGTTTGCGAGAAAGAAGGTTTCTATCCTCATCCAACGAAATGCAACAAATTCTACCGTTGCGTGGACAATGGAAACGGTCTGAACGTCTACCACTTCGAGTGTGGTCCTGGTACCATATTCGATCCCAGCATCAACATTTGCAATCACCCTGAATCGGTTTACCCTCCGAGAGACTGCATGATGCCAACGAGTACTCCTTCTACCACATCTGAGGTAAGTGAATCTACCACGGAATCTACGACTGAGTCCAGAGGAACGGAAGGAACCACCGGGACAACGGAGTCTACGACTGAAACAACTACGTGGTCTACGTCTACTGAGACAACGACTGACTCGACGACGACAGAATCTACCTCTGAAGCAAGTACAGCAACGACGACTGAAGTAACCACCGAGTCCACGACTGCAGCGACCACGGAGTCCACTTCTGAGGCATGCACGGAGTCTATGACAAGTACAGAATCTACCTCTGAAGCAACGACAGAGTCAACTTCTGAAGCAACAACAGAGTCAACTACAGAAGCAACGACAGAATCAACTTCTGAAGCAACGACAGAGTCAACTTCTGAAACAACAACAGAGTCAACTACAGAAGCAACGACAGAGTCAACTTCTGAAGCGACGACAGAGTCAACTTCTGAAGCAACGACAGAATCTCAAGGGACCACGACTACCAGCCCAAGACCTACCGTTCCAGCAACATGTCCAATTGGAAACTTAACTGACGAACAGATAGCACTGGTCTGTCCAACAGGTTTCAAGAGGCATCCCAAGTACTGTAATCTCTTCTACCAGTGTACCATAGAGTCTAACGAGATGGACATCAAGGTACTGATACTAAGTTGTCCAGTGAATACCATCTTCGACGAAGAGAAGCTACAGTGTTTACCTGAGAACGAAAGCAGTCATGTTTGCACGGGAACCATAACTACTGGAAGATTCTACAGAAAACTGCTGGAGAGTTCCGTGTCTCCTGTTAGTATATAATCATAAATTTATACTTAGGTATCGTTCACCTTATGCCAAAACCATAAATATGTAAATTTTCACTGATGTGGTTGTAGGTGGAGGGGACAAAACCAAATTACTTCACGCTTAACCGTAGTACGGTGCTCGGGCCGTTTTCGACCCATCGCCTACGTATTTTTTTAATAAGTTTTGCTGTTGTTAAATTTATGTTCCCTTAGCATTATATTAAAAATGTATCGTCTAGATTCATATGGCGTGCTGATAACATCAATTATTACGCATAAGATCTTTGCGTCTTTTTTGACTTTGGGTCCTTTTTCACTTTGGGTCTTTTGTGACTTTGGATCTTTTATTTTGACTTTGGGTCTTTTTAACTTTGGGTCTTTTTTGACTTTGGATCTTTTTCAACTTTGGTTCTTTTTTGACTTTGGTTTTTTTTTAGCTTTGGGTCTTTTTTGACTGTGCGTCCAAAGTGTACAGTCTTGAGTAAAATTTGAAAAATTATGATCTCCACAATTGTGAATGTTCATATTCGTAGCATTGGCATAATGTGATATGTATTGAAGAATTTATTTTTAACACATGATTAACTTAATTACAGGTAAAGGTACCATCTGGTACACTATGCCCAGGAGAGGGACACTACCCTTATAAACTAGGCTGTAGCACAACGTTCTACAAATGCGAACGGGACTCCAGGAAGAATCTTCAGGGTTATTTGTACAAGTGTCCGCCGAACTACTTGTACTGGTCAATCTCGAGAAGATGCGAACGTGCGATACGATTGCCAATGTGCGCACACGTTGCGTTGAAAGGTCTTTGGGATAAAAGATGGCAGATTCCGATAGAAGACACGAACGTGTCTGCTAGAAGTCTGTTTGTCTCTTAAATCGTTCGTAAAACGATCCACCATTTTCTTTTATCCCCGGTAAAAGACTTTTAGGCGATGTAGAATGGACAGTGTAAACTCTCAGGACTATTTCTGATCTTGTTTCTTATTAGTTATATTCGTAGGAAGTAATCTTCAACTGTTAGAATATTATATGTAAATTTGTAAAGCAACATGGCTGCGGAAGATCCCGCCAGAATAACACTTGGATCTTCGGCAGCCATCTTGTCACGATTTAAAGGCTAATTGAATTAGTCTATATGGATTTATATGTAGGAGCTATTTCCTAATAGTTATCGACGAATATAATTGACATTTTCCTACGATTTTCCTCTGTGAAATCGTTAAATCGTTGGAAAACTATTATATATATTATATCGTGAATGTTGGGGGGTTTTGGTTGCGGGACTTGTATGCAATATTCGACTGTATTCAGTAATTTATGTTGTGTATGTATCGAGTCAACTATTCTTTGCGACTGTGTGTTTGTGTTTTTATAAAATTTTCTTCTAAATTTGACAACTACGAAACAGGAACGATCGGTTAGACAAAAATGATGGGCATAGTGTTTGTTTAAATACAGAAAAAAAGAAAGAAAAATGTTACTAGAAAGTTTTGGCGCCAATTATTTTGAATTTATCCGACTGAATTTAACGGTGCTCGATGTTTTCATTTAAAAGAGAATTTACAACTCTCAGCAACAGATTTTGTATACAGTTCAAAGCAGTAACCTTGGAAAGATAATCTTGTATATAATTACGTCTTAACGATTCCAATCTCTGCTTTCTTTATATAAAAACACTATCGCGTTGTCTTTCATTCCTTCTCTCAATTTTACGATTGCGAAAAGATAACGGTGTTGAGGTATTTTCTTTTCTTTTTACAAAGGTGCTGCATTTAACAAGTTTCCCACGATTTAGAATGGTTGTGAAGTATCGTTAGTGTAGTCGTTGAATGTGTATAAGTATCGAGTGTGTTTATATTGGATTTCTCTTTGCAAACTGATATTAATAAATAACGAACTCCCACCTCGTACACATCCCATCATATTTTGTAGACGACGCGAAAGGAAATAAAGATCTATTGTCTTTATTTTATGTAATTTAGAATGAAATAAATAATGCTTTTGTTGTAAAAGATATTCGATTTGGTACGGTTTTCGATTAAAACAATATTCGATTTGATACGGTTCGTATTTAAAGTAAAAAATTTAATAAGTAAAATCGATTATCTCGTTCTCGTACCAGTCGATTGTGTTGGTCGATTGTAATCTGCGTTTGTGTGCGTGTGACGTGACTCAGGCTTTGCTATATTACAGACAGTAGAACAGCAGTGCCGCGAAGAAGAAGTAGGTGGTTGTCAAATTGCGTTAATTATCAACTGTACGAAAGTTTTTGTCAAAGTTCAAACACTCAAGAAAAATTATAAATAAAAAATTATTCTTGATACAGCAAAATGTTTCGTAATTCGCTTACTTTTGACAAGTTATTAGGTAGGTTTCCCTTACTATGCCAAGTGAACAAAATGTCCGACTATTAAATTGTATTTAAATTCCTTTTAGATAAAGCAACGAGTCATTTACACCTCGAGCCTGACTGGGTTGCAATTCTCCAAATTTGCGACTTAATACGTCAGGGAGATGTGCAGTAAGTGCATAATTATCGTTTAACCTGAAACTAACCTTATTGTTTCTTGATCATTATAAGACAATGACATTTTGGTTTCAATATATATATATATCGAGTCACTTTCTACGTATTCCTTACGTTTCATAAGGCATAATACTATTTTAGCTCTTATTTGTTCGTTTTTTTAAATCTTTCCATTATTGCTGCAAAATGAGTCATAATATAATATATCAGCAATATGTTATTAATCTCTTATTAGCAAGTAGTGAGTTGATAAAAGTATATTCCACATTTTGTACATGTGTATAGACCTAAAGCAGCACTTGCAGCCATAAAGAAGAAAATGACGAGTCCTAACCCACATGTGGCATTGTATGCTTTATTGGTGAGGAAAAATAAGGCTAGATGTTTCAATAAATATTAGGTTATCAATATTATTGTCTGGATTTCAGAAATACTATTTTGTTATAGGTACTAGAATCTTGTGTTAAAAATTGTGGTACACTAATACATGATGAAGTTGGTACTAAACAGTATATGGAGTTGCTTAAAGAACTGGTAAAGACAACAACACACGAAAACGTTAAACTTAAGACATTAGAATTGATTCAAGCTTGGGCACATGCATTTAGAAACAGTCTTAATTATAGAGCAGTACAAGTATGTTTATTAAATGTGTTTATAAATGTACTTTATAGTGACTTATACAAAATACTAATATTAATAAAATATGTGTATATTAGGATACACTTAACATTATGAAAGCTGAAGGATATAAATTTCCTGTTTTAAAAGAAAGTGATGCAATGTTTATTGCTGATACTGCTCCAGCATGGGCAGATGGTGATGTATGCCATCGGTGTAGGGTGTCATTTTCAATGATGCAGAGGAAACATCATTGTAGAGCATGTGGTCAAGTATTTTGTGCTCAGTGTTCAAATAAGGCATCCACTCTGCCTAAATTTGGAATTGAAAAAGAAGTCAGAGTTTGTGAAGCATGCTATGAACAAATTAATAAGTAAGCACTAATTTATTATTGTTTTATATTTTCATTTTGTCCCTGTTTCATATTTTTTTTACTTATTTCTGTAGACCATCCACCACTCAAATTAAAGAAGCAGATTTACCTGCTGAATATCTCAAGAGTTCTTTAGCTCAACAACAACAGGTATGTAACTTTATAGAAATATTATGAATTAAAAAGTACCAGAAAATATAATATTATGCTTTACCAGGTTCCTCCCAGAAAATCAGCTGCAGAACTACAAGAAGAGGAGGAACTTAATCTTGCCCTAGCTTTAAGTCAAAGTGAAGCAGAACAAAAAGAAAAGGAAAAAAAACGCACGACTAGTGCTTTGAAATCAAACACTAGCACAGTGCCCAGAACAACATATTCTCCACCACCATCACCTGTTAGTTTTTAAAAACAGAAAATTTTATTAGAATATGTAGGAATTTTTTTACTTTCTAGGGCCCTAGTCCATCAAAATTGCAAGAAGAGGAAGAGGTTGATCCCGAGCTCGCAAAGTACTTGAATCGCAAATATTGGGAACAGAGACAGTCTGCAATCGAAGAACATGGTTCCAGAGCAGATGTTACTAGTCCTTCTGCTCCTAATATAAGCAGTCCAATGCCGCAAAAAGTTATCGTTGCAAAACAACAAAACGGAGAAGTTGACAATCAAATGGAAGAATTTGTTAATGCTTTACGTTCTCAAGTTGAAATTTTTGTTAACAGAATGAAAAGCAATTCATCTAGGGGTAGATCAATTGCTAATGATAGTTCTGTGCAAACTTTATTTTTAAATATTACTGCTATGCATTCAAGGTTTGTTTTAGAAGATATTTTTAATTTGTATAAGACGATAGAAAATGTACGATGTATAATAATTAATTGTTGTAGATTATTGAGGTATATTCAAGAACAAGATGATAGTAGGGTATATTATGAAGGCCTCCAGGATAAATTAACGCAAATGAAGGATGCTAGAGCTGCGTTAGACGCTCTGCGAGAGGAACATAGAGAAAAATTACGAAGACAAGCAGAAGAAGCCGAAAGACAAAGGCAACTATTGATGGCTCAGAAGTTGGCAATTATGAGGAAAAAGAAACAAGAATACTTGCAGTACCAACGTCAGCTTGCTTTGCAAAAGATACAGGAGCAAGAAAGAGAAATGCAAATGAGACAAGAACAACAAAAGCAACAATATATAATGGGTATGTTCAAACAAATAACGGACAATCGTGCAATAGTTTTCCTTTTATTATATGTGTTTTAGGTGGTTATCAAGCGGTTTCTGGTTTTATGGGAACATCTCAAGGTTCACCAGTTCGTCATGTTCACTATCAAACACCAGGAGCTAACTACAATCCTATGTCGCCAACAAATCAAGGATATATGTATGGACAACCTCCTATGAAACAATATCCTATGCAGGGTTATAATATGCCACCTATGAATTCTATGCCGCCTCATGTAATGGGGCCAATGCCTAATCAAGAGCAACAACCAGCTGACCCAATTGTTCAAGGACAAGAAGCAATGGGTCGAGTTTCCGTTTCCGGACCAGGAATGGTTAGTAAATTAAAGAATTCCTTTCTATATATGTTTCGTTTTTTTCAATACTTCTAAAATATTTTTTATTATTTTACTTAATCGTTTTGTACGTTTCTTTTGAAGATGTCTCAAATTACAAATCCTATACCGCAACTTCAGCAGGCAGGTGGACCTCAGATGGGACCGCCACCTCCACAAGGTCCGCCAAATCATATGCCACAACCACAGCCGACGCCAACGCATATACCACCACAACCACAAGGTGCTCCTCCCCAAATCACACAGCCAGGACCACTAAATCAAATGGGTATACCTCAGGTGCCACAAGGTCATATGGGTCCTTCACCTGCGCAAATGCCTGGACCTGGAACACACGGCCCTCGAGGACAAATCATTGGCATACCACAGCAAATGGGACCACAACCATCTTCGATGCCGGGTCCTCAAGGACCTCAGATGCAACCTCATGTTTCAAACACACCTATTTCGTCTCAGGGATCTAGCACTATTCAAGTACCTCCAGGAACTACGACTGGACCGATTCTAACACAGAATCCAGTAATGCAGGGTCCTCCTGGACCTGGTGTACCACCAATGCAGGGTATTGCTCAGGCCCCAGTATCTCAAGGACAACTACAGTTTCAACAACCAACTCCTATGCCACCCGCGTCAAATGAAATTAAACAAATAAAAGAGGATTCGAAACCGGAAACAGCAGAGCTGATTTCTTTTGATTGAACGAGTTCTATGTGCATAAAGATTAATTCATAATAAGAAGTGCATTTAAGGTAATCATTTTACATACTTATTTTAATTTCGAATTGGCATTGAGTGTTTTAATTTTACCAATAAAATTTTGTATGTTCTTTATGGAATTGACAGAAATATACTTTTTAAACTCTTATATTAGCAGTTTTTAAATATTTATTTAGGCTGTGTAACTCTCGAACAGGCAGTAATGTTTTATGGTATATTAAAAGAAAGTGGTTAGTTCATTGTTGGTGTTTATTTTATGTTATAGAAATTTCCAACAACAATATATATACACAAATTAAATACAAGACTTTGTTACATATTTGTGAAATATATCTAGTGAAAGGTTATTTATAATATTCAAAATTGCAAAAACATAAATTTCATGTATATGTATCTAGATAAACTGTATATACAAATATTTATATGTTACATAGCATAAAAGGAACTTAAGAGAAATAGTCCCATTTATATCCAACCTTTTACTGTGTATATAAGATCTCGTTTTTTTTTTTTACAAAATTAATTTTAAAATGTTGTCTTCCCCTATTAAAGGAAAATATTATGAAACATGGGATTTTTCAAGTCATTATTCAGAAAGTGCTTTCTGTAATAAAACCCTTTATTCCATCAATGAAATGTTTCTTTTCTTAATTCCAAATTTACATTTTCACTCTTTCATTCACTTTGTTTTCTCTAAGCTATCTAGAAAATTTTTCATTTAACCTACTTTTTTTTAGAAATCTGTCTTCAGAATCATACTGTTTCCACTTGACCTTTTCTACGTGGTGGTTTCACTTCTTGTGGGCAGGTAAACGACGTTTCTTCAGAATGTTTTCTAATCACAGCTGACGATTCGCCATTAGTTGAACAAGCAGAAATTTGACCATCTTTCGTTTCTTGACATATGTGTGATATGCTAAGTCCGTTAGAAGTTAATGATGCTTTTCGAAGTCGCATGTCTTCTAAAGGAATTTCTTCACTTCGTGGCCTTGGCATCTTCGGTGAACTATCACGGGACCGTAAACTATTTTCGTGACCTTTTTCGTTTGGTATATTATCTCCACGTTTTGGAGTTGACGATGAAAGACCGGCAGTGGGTCTAGCAATGCTTTCTCTGCGCATTTGTGCCGCAAATCCAGGAACTTTGTTTACCGTAAACATTGGACGCGGCTGTTGATCTTTTGGTCTTTGGCCACGTCCTACACCTGAAATTATATCCAATTATTATTTAGTTCTTATAAGTTTCATCAGATCGATTCAGTTTCATAATATATCTGACGTTCACGACGAAAACCCCGGAGTGCATAATTCGGTGGTGTCGCAGAGTGTGGTATACTTGTGGGAATGTCCAGTAGTCTTGCAATTTGATTCATTTTCTTTTGTCGTGCTTTTATCCTTCCTTTTGTTAGCCTTTGATCAAAAACAAATTTACCAAAAAGTGAGACACAATAATAAGTATTAATCAACACATTATGTAAATTTACCTTTGTTTCGCGGCCATACATCTAATATGATCATCGAAAATGAATTTTGTTGATAACAGTGGAACACGATTGCCGGTGCTACTACTTAATGGTTTATAAATTGTTAGGTGCAGGCATCTAGAATCATCTTTATCACCCGCTACTTCGATATCCTGCAAAAAGCCCACCAATTTTGCTACTCCCCAACCTAGCTTGCTAGTATCAGGTTCAACAAGAATTAACTGTACAACATCGATGACTAAAAAACGGCGAATTTTTTGACCATCTTTCCACACAACCGTACATGCGATTAAATCGCTATTATCTATATGAAATCACGATAAAAATTAGGTATCTTTGAATACTCGAATGACCATTTTGAAATGTGCTAAAATAAAATAAGTTTTACTTAGATCAAGAACATTGTTGACTTGAATACAGTTGGCTGGATTTGTTAGTGGCAACTGTGTTTCTGTCTCCATATTTAGACTCAATGATAGATCTCTTATTAAAAAAAATACCCTTATTGCTCGCCGTGCTCTTTCAACCTGTGAAATCATCAATTTTGTTTTCTATTAGTAAGTTTAACAAATTACATTACATTAACAATACACAGCATAAAATCAAAAATTTGATCTTGAATGTATTTACTTCTCCACATGGTAGTCTTTTAGTAAATTCGATACCCGTCATTGGGGTTCCCGTCGGTGGTAATAAAACATTACTATCCATCATTAACCACTCAACATTCAAGGGTCGTTTTTGAATTTCGCTATATTCATCCTCAAACATATCTAGGAATATGTCTTCACTCTAAAAATAAGATAAAGAAATAAATTTTTTTACAAGAGTATTCAAGCTTAGGAAAAGATTAAGTTTCAATAACAGACCTTATAAAAATTCTTTAGTAAGGATGTACTCTGCTCTTTGGCCGCTTCGATCGCTGCCACATGTGAATCTTTTAACATAATTTGTCCTTCTGATATTACTAATTGTACTAATAATTTAATTGCCAATTCCAATGTAACAAGTCTCACTCTAGCATCTGATAAAAATATTTTTCGTAGAAACGTAATACATTATTTGAAAAAGTAAAGAAAATCTGGAAAACGACTTACTTGTTTGACAACTTAACGTTATAATATGAATTAGTCTATCTATTAAAATTTCGTTATAAAAACTTGATTTTTGTGAACTGCATAAAATCGGTTCCAACGTTTTGCTATCGATGCCCTTAAAAAATAGTTTATTGGAACAAAAGTATGAAATCTTATTTTGATATAATTTTCTCAAAGCACTTTACTTACCTGATTGTTAACTAAGGCATACAATAAACATAACGCGAATAACGTAGCATAATCATTTTCTGTGCAAAATAAAGAATTTAGGATAGTTTCTAAGAATGGCTTATTTGGTAATGATTCAGTTACATTTTTCTGTGTTTGTGGTGTTAAGGGATTGTTCTGGTATATGTACAGATGCATCTCTTGCTAGAGCAGTATTAAATGATGTAGTAGGATTATTTATCTCTGATACTTCTTTACCTCCATCCTCAGTATTATCCTTTTTTTCTTCCAAAGTACTTTCTTCTTCACAAAGTTCATCTGATACTGTTAAGGATTCACTTAAATTTTCAAGAGACTTTTCTAAACTTTCTTTTGGTGGTGAAAAAGCAATTGGTTTATTTGATGAAATATCACCGTACATTTCAAGTACTTTACTTGCACCTGTTTGTATTGTTTCTAAATCTGACAACAGTATTACTGCTGCTAATGTATGTACAAGAGGACCATGAGGGACTATTAGGAATACTTGGGAAAGTAAAAATAGGGCTACAACAATGCTCACATATTTCCTTTCTTCCTGTTAACCAAAAACTTAAATTAGTGCTATACCAAACTATTGTAAATTTATTAACTGGTAACATACCTGATTTTGGCACAGCAGGTTTTTGTGTCTCATAAGTGAGTAAACATACAATGGAACTAATAATTTGTGAAGCAGGTGCTCTGATAACACTTTATTCAAGTCAGATATATTTAAACAAAGAATGTCATTTAAATAATGTAAATGATCTAAGTGTTCTGCTACTAAATCTGATAATCTGTTTTGGCTTTGATGACTGAAACATATGTATATCATGAAGTTTCTTCCTAATATAATTACTTAAATTATATTTTAAAATCACTTACTCAGCATCATTTCTAACACAAGTGTCAAGCTCTATAATGTGATTACCAATAAACCATACAAGATTGCTGAAATAGGGTGCAGCAGTGCGGTCTCTTATAAATGCTAGCATAGAGGCATCTTCTACTCGATATACATTTAAAGTTAAAGTTCGCACTGCTATACGAACCATTCCTTCAGAGTGATTAAAAAATTTAATTGCCTCCGTATACAATGGAAAATCATTGGTGTGCTAATAAAAAAATTAAATTAAAACATATCCTTTTTTATGTGCTTAGTGCAGAATTTAGGTAATGATGATGACAATGAAAATTAAATAATGATCACAATAAGAAGCACACTATGAATAGATTAAACATATACTTAAATATTATGTTATAATAAACATATTAAATTGAAAAAATTTATATTAGGTAGCTGCTATTAAAATTAATGAGCATGAGATTAGCAAAAGTGAAAAAATAGACACAGAGGATTATCACGTGTACCTCGTTTACCTCATTATAAAAGAAATGTATGGTATGTGCATTTAACTTCAAGCTTAAAGTCTTTAAAAAACTGATGTAGTATGCCATCACCTCTTCATCGCTGAAGTCAAATTTGTGCACTATTATACTGTTTACATGATTATTACTAAGTAAGTAATCTAAAAACAAATTTTTCAATTGGAACTTAGCCAAAAGTGGTCAGTTAAAATTACACTGATGAGTTTGGCAATAAACTTACATAAAGATGTTTCATTGCGTATATTTTCAAACAATATATTTAAGGTCTGCAATAATTGAACACATACATAGCTTCCACATTTTTGTTTCATTATACGTAGAAAAAATGAAAGCATGTTTTTCTCCAAAAAGAAACTAATAAACAATATAAATAGTTACTATTTGAATAACAACAAAAGTGTATATCTTTCAGAAACTAATTATTGCATTGATGCTTACTCAAATACACTGCTATCATTTTGGTCACCCCATATTAAAATTTCAGCTATAGAACGAAGTGTTTCTACCAATAAACCTCTATTATTTTCAGACACAGTTTGATTTTTTGACAGAACATTGTATAAGTACCTGTGTGTAATAGTAGAAAATGTTTTAGATAGATACAAATTTATCAGGTATATATACGTACTTAAGATGCTCTAACGAATGCGGATTTTTGGGCTTCCAAAGCCCTCCTCCAAACCAACTTCGACTTCGAAACATTTTTTAGTAGTACAATCGCATTTGGGTGGTGCCTTGCGTTAAATTCATGTTCCTTCTGTGTTTTGTTTCCTCCTTTATTAAATAAATATTACCCGCATTTGTCTACGTTATTGAAATCATAAGAAATATTTATATTATTCGATGCTTATTAAAATCTTTATAAACGTTAGAACGATTGTCAGAATCGCCATAAAATTTAACACATTATTGTTCAGGTTAGATTTCTTAGTTTTACATGATTCATTTTTATTTCTACTTTAATTGTTAATCACCGTATTTTTAAAAAAATGTATTGACACTTTTTATACATTTTTCCAATTGCGTCACGTATAAATTTTCGAAGTAGCGTTGACTACGTACGTAGAATTTTGCACGACGCAAAACCAAGCCTACCCTCCATTACTGAACATACTACAGAACTATACGTTAGGTTAGTTTAGTATCTTTTTGTTGCTTTATTGAATCGTTAAGTTTCGCGTAAGTTACGTTAATGTAAGAGAACAAATAAAGGAAGCATTTCTCAACACGATTTCACCGTAGATTAATTTGTTAACCAAAAATAAGATAGTGTTAGATGTTTATATTGAAAACAATCTTATATGGATTAATTATGAAAGTGTTGGAATTGTATAGCGGTATTGGCGGAATGCATTATGCACTTCAAGGTGAAATATCACACCATTATTCACTGTTTATATTGTTTAGAAAAACCTAACCTCTACTTCTTAATGTGAATTAGATATGAAAAATGTTATTACATTTTAAATAAAATATAAAATAACTGTAAAAAAATTTCTGCTTTCAGAAAGTGGTATTAAAGGCGACATTGTTGCAGCAGTTGATATAAATACCATTGCAAACAGTGTATACAGGCATAATTTCCCAAATGTGTTACTTATGAATCGTAATATTCAAGCCCTGTCTGCAGACGAGATAAATGACTTAAATATAGATGCTATATTAATGAGTCCTCCATGTCAACCTTTCACAAGGGTAGGACTTCAGAAAGATGTATTAGATAACAGGTCTTTGTCACTACTTCATGCTCTTTCGTTAATTCCTCAAATAAAAACATTAAAATATATATTGCTTGAAAATGTAAAAGGATTTGAAAAGTCCGAGATGAGAAATGCAATATTAAAATGTATTGGTGATTGTGGGTTTAATTATAAAGAATTAATTCTAAGCCCTTGTCAATTCGGTATTCCAAATAGTAGGTACAGATACTACCTATTAGCTAAAAGAAAAGATCTTGAATTTTGTTTTGATGATAGTATATTAAATTTTAATCTCCCAGAAACTGTTTTAAGAGCTCTACCAAAAAATAGACATAAGTTATTAGCAGAAAAGATTATTTCTAAAAGAAATAAAAGCTGCTATATGTTACACACTATTTTAGAAAATGTTGAAGGGTCACAATACCTAATTCCCAGAAAGTTGTTACAAAAGAGAGCTTGGTTGTTAGATATAAGAACATCACAAAGTGATGGTTCTTGTTGTTTCACAAAAGCTTATGGCCATTATATAGAGGGTACTGGCTCTGTATATTGTCCATATTCAGAAGAGGTTATTAAAGAAGCATTTTTAGAAGCAAGTAAATATGACAAGCAATCGTTAAAAGTATCAGACATTCTGGAAAAACTGAAGCTAAGATACTTTACACCTAAAGAAGTGTGCAGGTTAATGTGTTTTCCAGAAGAGTTTACATTTCCAGAACATGTGACATGTAAACAGAAGTACAGACTACTGGGAAATTCAATTAATGTACACGTAGTTAGCAGATTGATATTTTTATTATATACTGAAAAAAAAATTACATGACCTTATTTGCAAAAATATATTTTATATATCCTTTTAATAAAGTGTATTTTTTTATGCTCCAAAATGAAATAATAAATTTTTAGTATTTGTATGATGTCATATATCATAGTAAAAACACTTATGAGGAAAAATGAACATCATACAACAAAATATCTTTAATACAAATACAAATTATTCATATATGTTTAGATGATTGCAAATGTAATAGCTACATAGTCTTTGTAATTTGCTTGTAACCATTGTTCTAGGTATCACACATCAGAAATTTCTTTGCATTCTTAACACTTGTAAGTGCTAATCATTCAAATTTCTTTATATTGTGTAATTCTGATATAGAATTATTTAAAATCCAATAATTTGATTGCTTTTCAATATGCAACTTTGATATATTACATATTTTATATTGTTTCTAGCTCAGGTGGAATGTGAATCTTTTTTCCTAGTGCAAACTTTTTTAGTGCTTGATATTTAGAGTGCCAAGACTCTATTTCTTCTCTCATACGGTTATTGTCCTCTTGCATAGCTTCCATGTCACGATATTCTTGTGTTTTTTCTGATTCTAATTCATCCTTTTGTTCAATTCTCTTAATACGACAACTGGCTGCATATCCTCTGTTTTTTAATGTACGTCTACGCTGTTTCATACGTACTATTTCTTCTCTTGATAATCCACGTAGTTTCAACTGCCTGTTCAAATCTCTAACTGATATACTTACTAGTTCATCATCACTAATATCCAGACAAGGGCCAGGTGACAATGGATCCTGCACAAAAGCAGACTAGAATGCGTTTTATGTTAATTTTATTCCAGAATAAGGTACATATGTATTTAAAATTATATAACATGCAAATGTGAAAAGCATTTATTTTCTGTTTTCCGAGATATTTTTTAATGCTATAAATTGTTTAGGAAATTATAAATCTTTAAATAATTATAACAATCTTCATATAAGCTTGAAAAACTGTACTATGTTTTTTGAAGTGAATTACAATTGACAAGTCGCTGCCTCATACGTCATGTTAGCGAAGTTTGAAAACAGAATGCAGTGACAGACGAGAGATTCGTGTTAAGGAGAGGAAAAAAAATACCATTTTTATAGATCGTTTTCCTTCCATGGACATTTTTTCCAACAGAATTTCTCAAATTCCAACGTCAAGTAACCACCAAAGTTTTGGCTTTCACGTCTTGAAGAAAAATTTGCTGGGTCATCGTTCAGTCTCATGCAGGTCAGTTCGTCATTCGAATTGTAATAGATGTCTTTCTAAAAACATGGATTTCTTCTTCGAATAATTTATTGTTATAACATTGTAACAATTATATCACGAATTTATTCAAAACGTATATAAATTTGTTTCTTTCTTTATAATATCAATGGAAATTTTTACGGTTACATAATTTTGAAATAATAAAATTTTGTAATTGTCAATCTCTTAAACTCCATAGATGGCGTACTATGATAAATTGGATGCATGTATATTTTAGTTGAAGTATTTCTCAATAGGTGGTTACTGAATTGAAGTGTTTCTCGTTTATAATGGCATGAATATATACAGCATAAATAAAATTACGAAATACTCATAGATGGGGTTTTACGAGTAGCAGATGAGCATTGAGGAGGTGTTCGTCTCGTTGTGACCTAACCTTTTAATTGATCGACTCATTTGTGTGAGCCCGTCAATATAATCCTACCCACTTTTTAAGCTGGTTTATTCGCCCTTGTTCCAGTTAAAAAAAAATCTGAATTATAAGAAAGGGTATTCTCGTAAAACCCCCGTTTTCATAAATTTTAAAAATTAAATATTAAACTGCGCACATCCCCTCAGAATATTGAAACTTAATTTAAGGTACTATCGCGTCTGCCTTTATTTCATAATGTATCTCATCTGTATTTTAACGATACAATGCAAATTAAAAATCGTGTAGAATAATAAATAAATACAATTTTCATATTTATATACGTATTTCGTAAATATTAAAAGTTGGTAGTTGAAAAACATTTAAAAAAACTTTCGTTGAAATTTGCATCGACTGTTGAAATTATTTTTATTTTTCATTTGATTTAATTTAATTTTACATTGCCTTGTGTAATTTTATTTTCCCATTTTATATAACGTAGAAAAATATTAAACGCAATATAAATATTCGCGTAGTACTTCCGGTGTTTCAGTTACAAAAATGGCGTTCCCTCGTTCGAATACAGTTTGTCGATATGACGTTTGTTGTGTTTTGTCTTCTTTTGTTTAATTATACAATAGTTACTGTGTTTGATGCAAAGTGAAATTTGTGCAGTTCGTATCGCAAATACGTAGAAATGTATAATAAGGAAATAATTACACGATCGAATCAAAAAGCAACAGGATTACAAGTGATCGTATTATTGGCGCGCATTATGGGCTCGTGTGCGTTCGTTAGAATAACAAATAAAGTAAGTTTTCATTAAATAAACGCAATCAAACGCATAGTTCTCGTTAGTACATGATTAAAAATAAACTAAAGATCAATGGCTTTGCGAATGTTAGCTCAATAATGTATATTTATAAAACGAGAAGTGAAAATGAAAATGAAACGTTGACAGTATCAAAAGCCAGTTGTTGAACACGTACAAAGAACAGAACAGGAAGCCGATTTGATCTGGCACAAATAGGTAATAAAATCCAAATTTCATAATATCGCCACGGTATAAACGCGTGTGCGTGTGTTTTAAATAATTTAAAGCGAAATGTTGAATAATTTGTAGCTTGTCAGTTGGTATAACGTGTTTCTTACGCGTACGCTGCGATTTTGTGTATAGAATAAATTCGATACTCGTTGCATCTGTCACATTTATAATTCGATATTTTCGCCATTCAGTTCGTTAATTACTAGAAAGGTAACCTCTCTATCGAATTTTAAGCGAAATACGTCACTCATCTATTAATTACGTCATTTGTAAGATAACACTATTAACACGGAAAATATGAAAAAAAGTGTAAGATAATTTTCACAAAAAATATCTGCGTAAGATAGAAATATTATCCGTTCGATTGTATACGAAACGCATTGGTTGGTTTTTTTTTATCGAACTTTTTTATAAGGTGTTGATATTATACTAATGTTTACCAACTTGTTTTTCTGTTCCAGATCCGGGAAATGGCTATTATCTCCTAACGGTAACTCAATAGCCGAGAAAATGGGAAGACTGGAGGAAAATGGCGGGAGGAAGGGGGACGGCGTTATGAAGTATAGGAGGAGAGGAAAAAAATATTTGTCAGGTGCAAAAATAGGTGAGCTGTCGCGCCAGAAATATATACATACATATGTATTTTACGATGATCGATCTGAACTACGAATAACCAGTCTCAACACAATTGGAAAATCACTTTATCATTAAAAATCGTACATTTATTTAAATTAACAATAATTTTTAAGTTTATAGCTATTCGATCAATTATTAAAGATCGCAGTTTTATCGTTTATCAATTGTTATCAGAATCGTCGTTTATTTATCATTTACTAATTTTTATCACTCATTTATCATTTACTAATTCTTATCACTTATTCATCATTTGCTAATTCTTATCACTTATCTATCATTTGCTAATTCTTATCGCTCATTTATCATTTGCTAATTCTTATCACTCATTTATCATTTGCTAATCCTTATCACTTATTTATCATTTGCTAATCCTTATCACTTGTTTATCATTTACTAATCCTTATCACTTGTTTATCATTTACTAATTCTTATCACTTGTTTATCATTTGTTAATTCTTATCACTCATTTACCATTTGCTAATCCTTATCACTTATTTATCATTTTCTAATCCTTATCACTCATTTATCATTTGTTAATTCTTATCACTCATTTACCATTTGCGAATCCTTATCACTTATTTATCATTTGCTAATCCTTATCACTTATTTATCATTTGCTAATCCTTATCACTTGTTTATCATTTGTTAATTCTTATCACTCATTTACCATTTGCTAATCCTTATCACTTATTTATCATTTTCTAATCCTTATCACTCATTTATCATTTGTTAATTCTTATCACTCATTTACCATTTGCGAATCCTTATCACTTATTTATCATTTGCTAATCCTTATCACTTGTTTATCATTTACTAATTCTTATCACTTGTTTATCATTTGTTAATTCTTATCGCTTGTTTATCATTTGTTAATTCTTATCACTTACCTGTCCTCTAATCAATTCTTAGCCAGGTGCAACGAACTTTTTCAGGTAAGTTATGATTATTGGAAAATTGCCATCCGTATGGTGTCGAGGGATCAATACGAATATTCTTGACTTGTCTATTTTTCCAGCACACTCGGATAAATGTTATCGTGACATTTGCTTTTTTTTCTTCCTTCCTTTCCTCTCGTGCAACACATTCACGCACTCTATTATAGACAGGATTTTGACCTATCGTTTTCTAAAGCCGGCTAGAGAATATATCGAGCTATAAATAAAACGTTTCATTAAAAAGGTAGCTCGTTCGTACACCGTTCGTCGATCGCCAGTAGAAACCTGGCTGGCCCCACGTTGTAATTTAACACTTTTACCCGTTTCCCCGAATGCAGTCTACGATGAAATTGGCTTGATTGATTTCGCCGCAAATAGAATTCGTCATAAACATTTCTCGTCCGGCGAACACTCACCACAGATCGTCTTCAACAATTATTTATTTATCCACTCGACCATTGGTAATTGCTTCGCGTCAGCCTCTTAAAATTCAACTCTCAAGTATGTACCCATAGTGTTCCACCCGATTTTGTAGTTAGATCATCTATCACATCGAACCATAAACCGTGAATAATAACTTCAAATCTGAATCGCGTTTTTTTTATCTTCCTCAGTTCTTAAGATTTTCATTAACCTTTTAATCGAGGAAGACGGGATCATCGATACTTAGAACACGATAGTTTATTTACCGAAGGATTGTTTATTTTTAATTCTACAATTTTGCCTGCGTTAATTAAGAAAACTGGAATAGTCAGTTGCAATTTGCATCGATTTTTAATTACAGACTAGAGAGATTCAGTGTCTGTTTGAGAAACGAACTCGGTTAACAGGTTGATAAACTAAGATTAGTACGTACGAGACGATCACGGTTTCATTCGTGCACCGATTCTTCGATTTTTCCAACGATCCAGTCACTTGTCGCATTGCGGCTGATCGCAACGTCCAGGTATTTCAGCTTCGTTCACCAAATCGTCCACACAATTGCGCCGATTGATTCACGGTCCATGAACGCTTTTATTATCGTCCAACGGACAGTGGTACGATTTTCCTCGGGGGAGGAATTTTAGGAGTAACGCCAGTTTCGTAATGAACAAAAAGGTGGTCGGCAAGGTGTAAACTAAGAAGGAGAAATGGGGTAAATAGTCGAAAACACGAAATTTCAGAGAGATCGATCTTCGTTTCGCCTACGTTTTCGCCGAACAACTATAAGATGAATTATTTCGAAATTCAATTTTACATTCAGAATAGACGATGGGGGATGATCGATTCGGAGCATGGACGACGAGTTGCAATTTCACCCTAACAGATGGTCAAATTCGTGGAAATCCACTTTGATACGGCCGTTACGTGCTTCCGAATTTAATTGCAACTCGTAACGCTACAATCCTGCGGAGATTTCTATGGAAGCGGTATTGACACAACGGTGAGAGGTTTTACGGTGTAAACTGATAGGCTCGGTTTCTATTTGACATCAAACGAGTTCCGTTGCACACTTAAAGAGTACATTGTTACTGGTTGCATTCTACCACTTCGTGATCACGAAGGTCGTTTGGTGGTTTCTTCTTTTTTTTTTTTTCTGCGACACACCCTTTGACTTCTAACTTCAGGGGTGGTTAATCTCCGGGAGATAATGAAGAATATAGTCGGAGATGTTGCACGATAATTATCTGAATGAAAGTTTGTCTCGCGGCATTGAACAGCTCGTTCAACGCTGGTTAGAGTTCATTAGCAACCACTGGATATCCTGGACGGTATCTCGATCCCTTTATAATCATTCAATTTGTCTTCCCGCCTTGAGCCCTTGGCTTTCCTACGAAAAAAAGAGGAAAGAGAAAAAGAACCTCTTGATCTTGATGTTATCGTTGGCAGTATATTTTTGGAATCCCTTGAGCGATATATACAGCGTGTCTCACGAACTCTGTACACTTAAATGGCTTGGTTACTTAATAGAATGAAAAAGGTCAAATATCTCAGCACCTTGGCACTTTCACACTCAGAATACGGCAATCTATCGAAATCGAGCATACAAAATTGGACATTTCGTTTAACGAAACAAAGGTGACCGCTATATCTTCTCTACGTCTCCACTTGCAAGAATACCATTTATACCATATTACGTAGCTTCTTAAACCCTACAACTTCTGTAAGTAATATTTTCTCGT